TGCTTAGTATTTTAGTGCACTGGTTGTTTAAAAAAAACCTATGAGGGCATACACCCTTTCTCCGTTCACTTCTACTTCAGACATAAAAAAACATTATTGTAAAGCTAATGTATACATCTCGATCGCTCTGCTCAAAATCTACAAGGAATGCTATTAAAGTGTGTGGTATATTATTAATTTTTGACCTATTGTATTTCCAACACAAATTTTCTAAACTTTATTAAATATAAAGATGTTTATAAATATAATATTATGTCAAATTTGAGTATTAACACAAAGAATAAAATCATCTATCTAATTTCTATCAACGGTTATTATTCATTACATTATACATAATATTCGATAATAGCCATCGGTTTAATAAATATAAATTCCCAGGTATACAATTTAAAAATTTTAAATCGCATATTTTACTAAAAAATATTATGGTAGATTATTAAGAATTCAAAAAAACCTTAAACATTAAATTTAAATTGATTTTTCCTACCAAATACCAACTAGGTGATCAGCAAACAATCACTATCTACGCATATTGTACAAAAACTATGTAATTAAACTAATGGAATAAAAATATGTGTTACGCAAAATAATTCACACCACATTATAGGAACGTATAAATTCAATTAATAAACGAAATGTTAAATAACTAATATTATTTTGTTTTAATATCAAGCATAGAATCAGTTCAGCCTCTGGATACGGGTCATGGAAGAGCGGTTTCTACCTACTACAATAATATAAAATACATATTATATTATAGGTACAAGTATCATGCAATTAACCTCAATGTACTGTATATATACAACCATCAGGTCGTCCTATATTTTAATTACATTGCTGGTATTACAACATAAACAATGTGTTCATAACAGCCAACAAGATCGTAAAAACGAACGATACAAATAATATCTATAAAAAAAAAAAAGATAATAAAAATCTTCTTCTGGTGACAAGTAGATTTCTAATTATATGCTTAAAATGTATCGCTTCAATAATTGTCGCTAAAACAAGGATTTTCTATGATTATACAATGAGGAACATCATGGCCGTATCATAGTCTGCTCTTACACTGTGATGATTGCATTTGAAGGTAATCGATAAATAATTGTATAGTAAAGAGTAGTTTTCCTCAATGTGAAGAATAAATATTATTCCAATTCCCGTTAATAACGATAAAAAATAAATAATTCCGCAAAACGTGTCTTTTTACCTTTTACCAATAAGTAATATATACATGTCCTTATGCTATTTTTATGTATATATAAAAATACTAAGAATATAATAATATTTAATTTTGAATTATTTATACTAGAGGAATAAGATCTGTATAGACTATATTTTATTAAATCTTAAATTTTTAATTTAAAAAGTACACGTTTAAAAAAATATGATTACTTAAAATTATATTAGGTAAATAAAAAACCTTTACACTCATATAATATCAGAAAGATTGAAATTTGGAAATAAATTATTTTAAAAACAGTCAAACTAACTTTATGAACTTTAGTAGAATAAATATATTTAAATAAATGCAATTAAAGGTTAAATACATTTCATAGGTAAAAATAATGTTTTTTTTAATCTTAAAAAAAAGTATGAAAAAATTGAAAAGACCTCGAACTTAAAATTATGGAAACTCACCTGATTTTTCAAGATAGCTCCAAATGCAATTCATGTTGGTCAAGGGTGCAAACAACAAAATGTGGGAGGAATAGTTAAAAATTATAACTTTGAAAAAGACAATAGGACCCGTATAAGTGACTAAGATATCCAACTATGCGTATGGAATATTTTAACAATAGCCATTACAGGTATAATTAAGTCGACGGTAAAAAAATTAATTTTCACTTGTCATAAACAGCCTCAAAGACCATGTATGTATGTATTCCCGCTGATAGATTTGCATAAAAGCCATTATTGATATAATATTATAAATTTAACAGTTTTATATTGAACATAAATCGCAGATCAAACTAGCGGATTTATGTTTGTATTTAAAAGCCTTATTGTATACACACATGGTATAATTATATACAAGAACGTGCCTATCACTGGCTAGAGAAATGCTCTTTTGAACACAGCCGACAAACTTAATGCGGTCGAGATGTATGACAAGAGATATGTCCCGATAGGTATTGTAACTTCATTTGGAAGTATATGTGTATAATCTGTACATTCAATGGAAAAATGATACGTAGTTTATTACCACGGTGTATGTAGGTAGGTAGGCAGGTACGTACCAAATCGATTCAATAATGAAGTCGAATAGTTGTTGCGATAAAGAAGAGATTTATTAGAACTACAGCGAATATACTATGGATATATGCACGAGGAACGTCTTGTCCAGTAGATATTATTTTCTTTTGCTTCGTATTTACTGTATATTATAGTTTAAGCGACAAAGAAGAATGTTTCCATCTTTGTACGAGTTTAGTTCGACGAAGCACAAATACGCATTGCTAGTTTTAAATAGTTCGATAATAAAATCAGACGACACTGCGGGCTGAATTAATGTATTGTTCTAGTGACAAAACAATCAGTTTTGTCAAGGTAACATTAAATTATTGTACTAAAGAATACAATTCGTGTGAGAGTGCGTATTGCATATGTAGACTGTATTGTAATATATTTTATGCCTTCCATAAATTCTCGTCTTTTCCATTATCAATCGAGGCTGTATTTGACTTTCATCGAAATCATTTTTTTCTAGTTCTTAATATATATTATGTCTATCTAGTATATATCTGTTTTTGCCACGCATTAATTTGACAAGTCTTTTTCTTTGCAAAAATTGTACTCTAGTTTTGACGTGACATCTTCTACGGTGCATCTACGGACAAACTCAAATGTTTGGTTTCTAGTTCGAAAACCTTATTACATTACACAGTAGCAAATCTATTCTTGTATAGAAACCTCTCTATGTGCGTTTTATATAAAATCCAATGAACCGTTATGCTCGTAGTGAATGTACAAAATAATGTAAACATACAACATGTTATTATTATATTATGTAGCTGTCATCTATACTAGTACATATTTTTTGAACAGTCTTATTTCGTGACGAACTTATCTAAAAATCGTGGTATAAAAACACTCTTAGATTTTTAGTTAAAATAGTGACAGTTAAATTTGGACATAGAAAATTGCCTAAAGATAATATTGTATTATATAACAATTCAAACGTAGATAAATGCATAATAATTAATAAAAACAAATGTGTGGGTAGTAGGTATAAAAATTACGTTTTACTGTTTGTAAATGATTTATAAAATACATTTTTCACTAAAATGCATTTTAGTTTTAAGTTTAATATCCTTATCAATTAATATAAAATTGTTATATACGTTATATAAGTCTCTACTAACGAAGTTATTTATTTTTTATACTACTATACTGTATCACTGTGATATTCATAATCCAAATAAGTATACTCGTATATTATCCAATTAAAGCTAAGTCAAATGAGAAAAAAATACTAATAGGTACCTACTCGTCATTTATTAATACAAATAAATATATATTAACTATTAACTACATGTAATTAAAAATGTCCACGATGATTCGGAGTCTTCATATAGGTAATAGACACTTTCTGAATTAAGTAAGAGTAATAAATCACTATTAATTACCAAATACATTTTAAATATTAAGACTATCCTAACCTAGCTTTAAAGTTTAAACAACCACATCTATTTAAATTAATATTGACCCTTTAAAGTACATATTATTGAATAAATTATTTATGAAATGAGTGAAGTCAATAAACTAAATATTCCGAAAAATTAAAAAAAACTGTAATACACATACTAAACATTTAATAGCTATAAAGTTTTATATAATTGCTCATAAAGAACTATATCGACTGAATTTGTCTCCTTTTTACTTTAAAAGTAAAAATTCGATGTGCATAGCCATAGATCATATTTTAATAAAAAGTTATATTTTCTGAAAAACTGTGACTACCTATATTATTACCTTTCATAAATAAAATACTCATATAAAATCATCATTCTGTAGTTGGTAGGCTAGTATGCTTACAATTATATTACAGAATATATTGACTTTATTATTTTAATTTCAGAATTTAAATTTCAAATTGTTGATAGATTTATGCCAATAAATTTGTAAAAATAATGCCAATGTGATATTCTATGTAAACATTAACTTTGTCTAGAAATGTATTTTTTGGTGTGGGATCTTAAAGTCATAACAACAAAAATAATATCTTATGTTTGTTTTATTATAAGTACTTATGTTTGATTGTAATAAAGATTATACGCCTATATAAATAACTAATAAGTACCAATTTTTAATGCAACTTAATACAGGTGCTCGGTGGGAGTCATGGCGCTGGACGGTTTCCCACCCCCCTAGACTTCGAGACTTCCCGCGTAATAGTTGTAAAAAAAGTTTGTCTAATACATAAATATTCATACCTCGCGGTTAAATGTAATTAAAAAATATATAATATATACTACATAATATAAATTATTAGTATTAATATATTGTATAATGTTTTATAATTATATAGTAAAAAACCTCGTAAAAAACCTAATGACTATTATAGTAGATATATTGTTCCTATTTCTAGTATATTTACTGTCTATCAAATACCACATTGATTTTGAAATTAATACTAATATTCGAGTCTAGAACTAGTAACAATTATTACCTAATACTATCAATGTCTAATGCTCAGAAAAGAATTTAACTACGCTCTTTCTCATATATGAATATATATATATATATATATAAAACCACTATAGTAATCTGCATTGCTAATTATAAATACCGTTTAATGATAACACTATAATAAGAAGCTTTGAATAACATCTAACCAGCAAGTAGGTACAACTTTTCAGCCTTACAATCTTAGCTTCGAAAAAACACTAGGTAACAAGTATCTATAGAGGATCTATCTATACAAATCAAAAATGAATCATACACTACGGTATAAAAACAACCGAATGGATTTAGATTAAATGTATTGTCTAAAATACCTTTGATTAGTTGAGCAGCAGAAACGGCAGACACAGCCAAAAATACGAGGATTGTGCACCAAAGACCGCACTTGCACTGCATCTTATCGGTCGACATTACTCGTATCCATTATGGTTTTTACGCGGCTCCGGCTCAAAGTTATCGGAAAAATCACACTAGAATCGCACAAATATCACCATCATTTCACGTTCGCACAGTAAACTAGTATGATTATATGATTATTATTGTAACACGCGCACATTCCAATATTTAACCCATTGTGTTATTATAAATTAACGACAGCATCTAGTAGCCCACAAATTATCACAACAATTTTATGTAATTTATAATATGATATGTGTACATGAGTATTTATCAATATGATTGATGACGCACGACTAGACCATTTAAAAAAAGGAAATATCAAAAAAAAAAAAAACGACAAGCATAAAATAGAAAATCACACAACCGGCGTGCAAGACAGACTAACTAACTAGTCGCGTTTGGTTTTGGCGACACGCGGTCGCTGTGCAACGAGCTTACCACAGCGCCACCTACAAGATCAGTTCGCGTTATTAAAGAACTACGTTATTTTGCTTGCGCGTATCGTTTTTTGATTTCGTTTTAAATTTGAACGCTAAAAGTACACTTAAAACGCAACTCTGTCGAACAAGAGTCAAGTATAATGTGCTGTTTTTAGATAAGAAATTTACACATTTAATTATAAGGGCCCGGAACTTGATGACCTAAAAACCTTTTAAAATGCACTTATAAAAGTATTAAAATGATTTATAAATATCAAAAAATTAGCCTAAATATACAAAAAAAATATCATAACATATACAAAAATTACGTTTTTTTTTAATAATAAATCATCAAAAAATCATCGTTTTTAAATTATTATTTTTTAATCATTCATTTATTATTTTATTCATCTGAATAAACAATGCTAATATTTTTATACATTAAATATGTTTTTTTTACAGACACAGGGCCTAAATAAAATTTAAAATAGAAATAAGAAATAATATCAGTAATACAAAATAATTACAAAAATAAATAGGTATTATTAGAAAAATAATTGAAAGATTGGGCTGTACGCAATACATTAGTTTTTCAAATATTTAGTTTTTTCAAAATAGCATGAAAGAAAAATGTAAAAAATGCAAATATATCTACAAAAATGCAAAAAATGCAGAATAAAAATGGTTTTATTGAATTTTATATAATACAAGCCACATTTTTGTAAATACAAACCTCATATAAACGCATTAGAAAAAAAATGCAATTACATCAAATTCCAGTCCCTATTAATTAAACTAGTAGTCATTAGTATAAGAATCTTTAATTCAGACCTTTTTAAGAAGCCTTTTATAGGGCCCCCTGCGGACAAAATCTACGCACGCTTATGGTTATAGTAGTTCAACAACATGAACAACATGAGATGGGTGAGAGGTATAATGAAGAGAAAAAATTAAACCAACCACAAATATTTGTTTTATAATCAATAATTATTACGTTCAACTACCTACGTACGTACATATAACTTTAATAATATACGAGTACACTATGTCCTAAACTATGGAGAAATCTTTCAATGACTGTTATTTCTTCATTACCATTCTATTACAGAGATTTTGAAGACGTTCATTTGTTTTTCCCATCGTGTTTATAATATTTCATAATAATAAATCAATATTTTTTTTTCATTATACATCTGATAGTTATTTATAGGTATATAATAAATAAATTTCATTAAAATTTTGTCATTTTATCAGTCTAAAATTGTTAATAAATATAAAATAAAAATGTGTTTGGCCACTTACAATTTTATTTATTTATTATTTTGAAGATTATTAATCTTATATAAAATCAATAAAAGTATGCTAGATTTCCAAATCCAATTTAAAATTATGTTTCTAAAAACAGTTAAAATTAATTAAATTGAAAGTTTAAATTCTAATAAACTTTTTTTTAATTTTAATTTTTTTTTTCAAAGATATTTGGACACTCCATTTATTATAATTTTTAACTATCTTAAAAGAAAAAAATCAAAAATTTCAATATATTTTTATTAATGTTTAACAGTAAATAAAAGGGAAATATTAAAAACTGAGGTAGATTAGGAAATATAGTAACACTAATATTAAATCATCTATCTATACCTACAAAACAATATAATATTATAAAATATGAAATTTAAACTGTTATCAAAAATTTAAAACAATGTTAAATGAACAAAAATTAATAAAGTAGGTAAAATTTAACAAATTTTAATACTACCTATGTATCGTGACTTTCACTATAATATGTTTATATACCATGAAACTACAAATTATATATATATTATACGGAAAAGACAAAAAAACTAATGATAAATATTTAACTAATCGTCATTCTTCGGTTAAATAAAAGTAATTTAATTTAGTTTGAAAATAACTATGTTATTATATTCATAATACTATTATAAGTATTTAAATAAAAATATTATAGATATTATTATTCGAAATACTGCAATAATAAGATACAAGTGCTGTTTAAATAAAAATTTTTAGAAACCTACGTATAATTTTTATTTACCTTTTTTAAATTAATAATAAATTATTAAAATTGTACTATTTAGATGCCGATATATATATGACTAAAACTAAAGTAAGTTTATCTAGTAATAATACAATATTTGTTATAAGAAAATATACATTTATATTAATTTATATGATCAAGCATTTATTACAGTGTTTCTCAACCTGGGGGTCACGATCTCCTTAGGAGTCGCCAACTTATTAATTAGAGTCGCTAACGTATGATTTAAAATTCAAATACAAAAATACAAAAATTTAAAAGCTCAAATAATAAAATAAGGTAATGAAAAAATAAAATCAATAAATATTAAACACTGTATCGTGTACAGACTGTAGAGTACTATTATAGTAATTAATAATAATATATGCGAGTATACAAAAAAAAATATGTGTAGGGGTCGCTAAAAAATTGAAATTCAAAAAGGGGGTCTCCACAGTAAAAAGGTTGAGAAACGCTGATTTATTATATTGCATCATTTCTTAAAAGCATATATTATATAATATATAGGTATACAAGAAACATTTACTAATACATAATATTATAATATAAATATCGAACACAATATGTTAAATTATAATTTAGTTGTCTACTTCAACATTTTGAAGAAAAATTAGTTATTATTAAAGTTAGCAGCTATTTATAGTCATCCTTTCTAACATCATAAATTTGTAGTGCATTAAAATGCGACACCTTTGTACATAATCATATCCAACATAGACAATTCCTAATTATGATCATGGCTTTTGTATATCATATTATATAATGTAATTGTTTAAGAAAATAGATATAAACAATTAATAATTGTAATTAGTGTTGAGCACATTTTCTATTCTAGATATAATTAATGTAATTATTTAAAGTAAATGTCTAATAATAATTGCAATTTTGCAATTTTATATTCATATTAAATTATAAAATAATTCAATAAATAATGATATTGAAAATATACAGTGATAATTATTATACTGACAGGCCTATCTATTTTTTAAATGAAGGACAAGTTTTTGTATTTTTGTAGTGTTAATATGTATATTATAAGGAATTATGATATACCTGATTCATACTGAAATTGTAAAGATACAATTTTTTTTTCGTATTGGTGATGCGGTGTAGGCGTTAAGTTAAATAATTCTTTTCATTTTAATTATTTTTACATATATTTGTTTAGCAAGAAATTAGTATAAATTAAGTAATACGCTATATTAAACTGTAGTGTATACATTTAGTAATCTTAGTTCACCTTCAACATATTTATAGTTGTAGACCGTAGTTTCATCAGTGCTCATACGTTACCTATAGTGATTTAACACTAAAACCTTCTGTGTAACATGTAAGGATATTTTGTTGTATTTTTTTTTTTAGCATCACAACTCTTCAAGAGTTTTTACCGCCACCGACAACTCCCTCCACTCTTACCGATTTTGTACCTTTTCTTCCCAATTTGATATCTCTAATTTCTCTAAGTCCTGATTTATACCATCTATCCATCGCTTCTTTGGAAGTCCTCTCGGTCTCTTCCCTGTGGGTTTCCATTCGGCCGCCGCTTTAAGGTAATCAGAGTTTGACCTTCTCATCACGTGCCCAAACCATTTTATTCTTTGTGATTTTACAAAGTTGATTATCTTTGGTACTCCTGTCAGGTCTCGGATCTCTTTGTTTATTCTTCTGCGCCAGCACCCCTGGTCATTGTCATATACTGGGCCGCAAATGATTCTAAGTATTTTATTTTCGAAAGACATAAGTTTTTGTTCCATTTTGTTTGTTTAAGGCCATACCTCACATCCATATGTTAGCGTTGATCTAATTATTTTGTTGTGTTAATGATAATAAATTAATGTTGATAATTACATTTTTAATTTTTAATGCATTAATAAATCTATTATCACTTTATCAGAATACAACAATGCTGGTTGTTTATAAAGTTTCCATCAAAACATATTCCATGATTTAATTTTGAAAATTTTGAAACAATATCAGAATAATATTATAATCTTTGGATTACAATAATCTATTTTCGATACATTATATATTTATACAGACCTATCGATTAGGTTAATATTGCTCATACAATGTATACTTATCAGCTATTACATGTCTATGCGTTTAATATATATCTGATTAATGATTAGTCATTATGACAATATATATGCTCATTAAGAGAAATCAATCCGCGAATCGACTTCCTTAAACGACCGTGTTAATCCACAGTGCATATTTTATATAACACTATATAATATCAAACAATTAAACTGACATAACCATTGTCTATATGAGTAGAACTATACCCGGATTTGTGAATACTGTGGTCACGGTGTAAACACTTATTATACTACTACACGTATATAGTAATCGCACAAACAATGACGTACTATACATAGGTAACACGTAAATAATGAAATTAAAAACAACTAAAAAAACACGGCAATTACAACATCGCTAATTTAGCCGCCAGCCTCCAAGTGTCCTTACACCTTGTAGTAGAAATATTATTAGGATATCCGAACAAATTATATACATATATCACTACACGTATTGTGGAGGTGTCACTGTTATAATAATGCTCACCAAGCCCGCACGGGCCGTACGCGGGCAGACAATAAAATAGTAATACATAATCGTTTAACAACCATCTGCCATACGATATTATGTTAATGTCTATGCACTCTATACTTATCCGCCATGACAAAGATTCCGATGTGTATAAATTATGATTATATTCTGTGTATTTTTAGTGCATCTACACATTATCTCGCTGAAAAGTATCGTCTCCAAATTATAATTAAAACTATAATTACACATGTTGATGAATAAATAAATTACATAGCTAAAATATAAACGATTTTAGGCTGTAAATATTTCTATTATACAAAACAATTTTAATAAAGGTAAACATCCATTTTCTCAAAAAGTTAAGGTTAGGTAACATTTTTGAAAATATTTTTATTTTTTTTATCTTAGATTTAAATAATTATGAAGAAAGCATATTTTTAGAAAAACTATATTTTATGTTTACTCATTAAAATTTATAATTAGAGCTAGGCTGATACCGATACCCAATATTAATATAGTACTATCGAAGTATCGGGTATAGGTTTTTTTTTGAACCGATAGTAAAACCGATATAATTTAGTCACATATCAATTTATATATTGTAATAGACAATAGTGGTGTATAACGACTAAACTATTTTTAGATATTAAACATATTATATAAATAATAAGGTAATACAAGATGAAAGAATATTTAAAATTATTAGTTATTAATTATTTATTTATTCATTTATGTTAATAATTATTAATTATCCTCGTGGAAATCTAATTTGTTTTGATAAAATTATATTATGTCACATAATTTGTATTTTACATCGGTTTATATATCGGTTATTGGTTTCATATCGGTAATATAAATCGAAATATCGATTATAAGAAAAAAATGTTATCAGCTCAGCTCTACTTCAAATATGTATTTTTTAATTATGAAATAAAAATCGTTTTATAACCACGTATCTAAGGTAGTGAGGGGAGCTCGAATATGGAGCTAGATGACGCACCAGTTCTTGTCTGTTGAGATGAATTGGTTGGGATTCAATTTAAATTTTCCTTGTAAGTGACTAGGATAAATTGAAGTAACTTAATTGATTGAACGGATTTTAAGATCAGATAAAAGGATTTCGTTTGATTCATTCTAGAATATATAAGATGTCTTAATAATAGATGGTTGATAGGTACTGTAAAGCTGAAACAGTTCTCTGTGTTCTATGTACTCAAGTACATAAAAGGATACCAGATAACAATTCCATTTGGCCAAAATAGCACAAAATCAAAAATTAATAACTAAATATAACTGCTCGAAATTCGATTTTACACTTTGAAATTTCCAATAAATATTCTTTAACCATAAAAAACAAAATAAAATATTTTGAAATAAATATTCATTAATCATTATCAATAACAAAAATATATTTCAGTAACGTGTTTATAACTTTCAAGATAATAAGTATTTGAGTTAAAAATCTTAAATCACCTAGTGTAATATAATATATTAAATATCTAATTAAATTATTCATTAGTCATTATTATTAATTTTATGAAATGAATAAGATTTTTTTCGCATCATTTATATAATATATATAACTGCAGATCTGAATGTTTTTTATGAAAAAATAAAAAGTATATAGGTACTATGGTCTGTTTAAAACTTTTCTCATAATTTGAACATTCACGTATATAAACTATTTACTAATATTTCTAAGAAAATGTATAGAAGACAATATTTTAATTATTCAATGAAATTTTTTTTTAAATTGTATCTATTTAATCACAAGTTGGGTTTTAATAATCATATTTTGAATTTCTTTATTAAATATCCGAGATAATTATTATTACCATATATTTAAACAATTCAAATATTTATGATATTCATATTATCTGCTACTTCTTTTTTATTTTTTATTACTCACAATCTTTTAATATTTTTATATTGAGAACTAAATAAAACACGATGTTTATATAAGTACAGTAAAATTCCTTGAAAATAACTCAAACATGCAAATTGTATTAAGATTGCATATACAAAGCGCCGTTTTAAATAAACATATTTATTGTATTAATACATATAACATAATATAATCTATCATAAATAATAAATAATGTATTATAATGAGACAATAAAATTTGAATTGAATTATTAAATCATAGTATGATGCATTTTACAAAAACATTTCAACAGGTGCAGTTAATTCTAAAAGAAAAGGTTTGACTGTGCTTCACACTGACTCAGATAAAGGTTTCTTTTCTGGTGGCTTACTGTATTTTGAATCCAGTAAAAACACAAAGAAATATCATGTAACGAACAGTGACAACTTCAACAATTGGTTTAAACGCATTTTACCAAAACATGAAAGAAACTCAGTCATTGTAATGGACACTGTGCCTTACAATTCTAATAAGTTAGAAGAACCTCCTTCATCCACACAGAAGAAGCAAGACATTGTTGACTGGTTTCAATCAAATGGGGAAACATTTGATAGGTCAATACCGAAACTCATGCTGTTAGAACATGTAAGGCAAATTAAATCAAAATTTAGCACATTTTTCATTGATTCCATTGCTCAGAATGCAGGTCATAACATATGACGTTTACCTCTGTTCCACTATGAATTTAATCCCATTGAATTGGTCTGACCAACAGTTAAGCAGTTAGTTACACAGAACAATACAACATACAAAATACCTGATGTCAGAAATCTTCTAAATGAGTTAAGTACACATATAACACCATAACATTGATCTAATTTCATTCAATGTTAATTTTTTATCAAAGAAGAGGATTACTTTTGGGAGGTCGATGAAATAATGGATAAAATTATTAATAACATGAAACCATACTTAGAGACCTATATAATTATGATTGATTGAAATAGAGACTGATGCCTAAAATTAAATATTTTAACTTATCAAAATATATTTATTTATTTTTAAATTAAATGACAAGAAGACAATAAACAGTTTGAAATTAGTTAAATACAGTATCAATAAAGTGTAATTCATTAATATATCACGCAAATATCATAACAACAAGACTACAAAAAAAATCATGAATATGATCAAATGAAAGATTACTTCAATTTCACTACAATTGAAAACATATGAATAATAAAATGAAATAATAAAATATTTTTAAAAATATTTTCAATTTAGTGAAATATGTAAAATTATGTAATTTTTCTAGGGTGACTATACGTCCCGTATAAAACGGGATCGTCTCTTTTTTGATCATCATTTCCCGTTGTCCCAACAAACTCCGAACGGGACACTTTTTATCCCGTTTTTAAAAGATAGTTCGTTTTAATCCCATTATTTCCATAGTACTAAATAATGTCTGTAAAAAAAATATCAATGTATTAAGAAAACATAAAAAAAATTTAAAAAGAGCAATTTATCATAGTTATTATTTTGTTATTTTAATAAATTGTAACTTAAATGTAATTGGAAAAAATAAAAAAATTATCATATTAATAAAAAATTGTTTGTCCCATTTTTTATTTTTATAAAAATGTTTACCCAAAATTATACCAAAATATGTTAAATAAAAGTAGCATAATTTTAATAAGAATGATTTTAATTGTAAATATTTCTTATCGATTCTTAAATATCTTGTTTTGATAAAAATATAAATTTACATATGAATCTGTTCCCTAGTGATGACTAACAAAAAAGTCAGGGGAATTATAGATCCTTGAATCTTTAATAAAAAAAACAAGAGTACGTAACTAGACTTATGAAAGAAAATAAAAATGTTTTAATCCTGGATATAAAATCATTACCCCCATTCAAATTATTTTAAACTTGTATAATTGGTATGAACCAATTCAAAGATTTATTATTTTATTGTTTTATATTTGAAAAACTAAAGATTTTGCTCAGTTAAAAAACTTAAAAATGTAATACAAGATTCTTCATAAGTTGTTATTAGTGAAATCAAAATATATATATATACATTCTCCAAAACAATTTTTACTAGTAATTAAAGTTAGAATTTTAACAAAATTCTCATCAGAGTTTAAGTTCTCATCTGATAAACTAAAACTCGTAGTTATTTTATTTTCTCCTTAACCTTATATTAGATTACATTTACCATTACTAAAATTAATTACATTAAAACAATTAACAATTATTTTTATCATTAAACAGTCAACAGAGCAAACTACAGAACTGCAATTCACCACATCAGGATCTAGAGGCCACATACTCCTCTGAGTAAATAGGTAAATATTTAAAACAAAGTATAAAATGAAATAGATAATATAATAATGAAAAACCAATAGGTATCATACAAAACAATGTTAACTAAAATATTATTGCAATCTTTTCATAAATTAATAATTTAAAAGTAAAAAATAAAAATAAATTTATCAACATTTTTTAATACAATTTAACATACGAATATATAAATATATCACATATAAAATTTAATATTAGTGAATAATTTATAAACATAGTTTTAATAAAGGTTCAGTAGTTGATTTTTTAAAATAAAATGCATACATTACAATTGTATTATATAAAGAGAATAACAAGAATAATTGGAACAAAACTGTAATAAAAGAGGTGCATCACTAAAAGAATACAAAAAATATTAATAAAAAGTACTTACTATTCAGTAAAGAACTAATATATATAGGTATTAATATATTGTAGATAAATTAGAGTATAAAAATACAAGTAATAGTTTTTAATTTAATTTTTTTTTTAAGCCATAAAAATAGCTTTGATGAATTTATCTAAATTAGACTCTAATCCGTGAGTTAAAGGATATTCATGAAACAATTTTTTAATAACTTGAGTACATTGAAGAATTATAACTATTACTAATTGAAATGTCGATAAAATTAAGTGATATAATATGGTAAAATACTAAAATATACCACTTATCATTTTAAAAATGTAATTTAATAATATTCTAAAATATACAAGAAAACAATTTCAGAAATAATTGTTTGACTAAACTTTAAAATTAATAAACAAATTACATCGTACATATAAGTTTAATTGAATAATTTAAGCAATGCTAATTTTTCATATGTTATACTTTTTTTTATCTAATAATCAAAAATATAGTTTTAATACATCAACACTAGAAATTGTATAAAACACCATGTAAAAATATATTCCTTTTATAAAGAATATATTTCAGCTAAAAAATTGGAATATATAAGTAAAACAATTGGAAAATATCAAATTATAATAACTGACAAACAAATTATAAAACTTTAATGATTTTGTTATTAATATAATTTTGCAAAATAGAATGTTCTCGTAAATTCACATGCTTAATTTACACAGAATCAGTCATCACTTAGCAATAATTTCAATTATTTTTTCATCAAAATATATTATTAGTTGTCACCTTGGCAACACAATTAGTGATACTATACCAAAATACAAAACTCATTGTACCGACTTGAGAGGAAGGCCATCTAACTAACCAAGATAATGGTAAAAACCAATTAGTTGGAAGTTCTCTTAAGACAGTTTTATGATAGTTGTAATACACAAATAGAAGATTTAAAATTACCTGAAATAAAATTATAATAATTAATTGATAAATATATAAATAATAAATATAAATATTATACATTATTATATTGATAAAAAAAAATTAAATACTTGATAAGGGAACTATAAAATGTATTTAAGTATGAAATCTAAGTAAGGGTGATCAAAATAATTATACTAAGATGTAAAAAAAGCTTATATTATTCAACACGTAGCAAATGAATCAAAATTATATTCTTTATTTTATAATTATTTGTGAATTATATCACAATAATTAATTCAAAATTTATTTAATACATTTTTGATACTAAATAATATGTTGAATCTAGGAAAAACAACTTATTTATATATAAAAATAATTATATTGTTTTGTCAATAAAGTATATTATTAATTTTATAGAGGTCTATATCTAGTAATAATATAATATACTAAAATTTATAATTCTAGATAATTTTTTTTTTTTTTTAGGATAGAGGAACTCAAAAGTTATAATTAATGAAAAATACTATAGGTAGTGAATGACTAAAATAAATTAAACATATTATAATAGAATTTAGCAGTTTTGAAAATAATCAAAAAAGTAAAATACAGAAATTTTAACTAAGTACCTATTGACTTTATTATTTAAATAAATTATAATAGTTTTTGAAATAATGACTAAGTATTTGTATTTTACATTTGAAAAAAAAATCACCCACTACAATCCAAGTGTAAGACATAAATTCAATTGATTAGAAAACAATTGTGTTTATAGATAAAATATAATGTTATTTTTATTAAATTTATGACATATTTATTGATTTTATACAAAAAAAATTTAATTTTACGATGAAAACAATTAACTCAAATAAAAATAAGTGCAAAACTATATTATGAGAGATATATGTATCTGTTAAAATTAATTTGTATTTTTTTACAAAAGATTTCTTGTCTTTTTTTTCAACTAACAAATAATATGTTAATTATTTATATATTTTTTTTTAGTTTAAAATTGTTTAAGCAAATTAAAATAGTACCTATGTACTATTAATTATTAACTAATAACTTATTTATAATTAAAAACAACTAACACAATATAAATGTTTAAAAAGAATAATTTCAAATATTTAATATAATTTTAGTTTTAGCAAAATAAACTAATGATATACTTACAGAGAAAGCATACAAAGACACTTTACAAATTAATTTGATTTTTAAATTTTTAGATGAATTTTCTTTTACTGAAAATTAAATATTTACAATGTTAAATAATTTTTAAAATTACTAATAATAAAAAGTTATTAGAACATACTATGAATTTTTAATTCTTCTTTCAACTTGTTGATTCTTCGTTGTAATTTTGTATGTTTAGCAAACTCCTTAACAATTGAAATTGTAGATTGTTCCTTTTTTAAAACTGATATTTCATCCACTAATTTTTTATGTTCTTTATTGATATTCATTATCCATAAAATAAACTATGTAAAAATAATAAAATAAAATAAAGTATGAAACTAAGAATGAAACACAAATACAATATATATTATGTTTGATTGTTTTATAAATGGAACCTAATTAATTAATTCTTATAATAATTTATAATTTACCTTTGGTATGAATTTGATTGAAAACATATTATAAAAGCTAACAATAATTGACCAAACCAACAAATTCATAACAATTTTATATTAAATACTATAAATAAATTGTATTAGATTCAAAAATGAATAGTTCATATATTATTTAATTGACTTTAAGCTGTAAATTTAAATTAAACAAAATATTATTTAGAACATTCCAACAATGCTTATCATATAAATAAATAAATAAATAAATAAATAATATTTATAATACAGTAAATGATTAACAAAATAAATCTGCACTGACTCGTACTTGTACACTTCTATAATTCCAATTTCCATATAGAAATTTGTACAAATTTTATTAATTGTGATAATATATTTTGATAACAATATTTACCACAAGTATTACACTACTAGATAGCGTTCAATTATAACTGTTTGTCAAACTTCAAACACGGACCTTCAAAAATTTAAGCTATAATGCTATATAATAGCTAATACTTAACAGTTAATAGTGTTAATACTGTTAATAGCCAATTGGTAAAATTGGTTAGTATTGTAAATAAATAGTAATGTTAGTAGTTACTAGTTAGTATGCCGTATGGTTCAACATTTCAACATCATGATTCGAGCGTAAATAAGTTTGAAATAATAAAGTATGACAACTTATTAATAATTCGAATTATATTTTACCCACACAAAAAAAAAAAAGGTATTATAGCACTACCCCTACTAATTGTCTATTTATAATATTTATGTTTATTTAACTAAAACTATATTTAAAAATACATTTTTAAAGTTTCTCAAAATTTGAGATCGTGCATAAATTTAATTTGACTCATATCCAACTATAATAGAAAATCCTAATAATGGACAAATGCAAAATTAGAAAATAAAGACGTTTAAAAATAATTATGATAATAGCCATATTTGTGACATTATTATATTTATATTGTTTTTCAATAATTTTTAGTTTCCAAATGAACAGTGCCAAATTATAAACATTGAAATGGATTATGGAAAAATACATACATTTTAGTATTATAGGTACACAGTACACGTAATTATTCAATACCAAATCACCATTCACGCACTGTATCTACATACATAGGAATAAACAAAATTGTAATCTGTAAATGATAAATGGAAACTTTCTATTGGAAAATAATACTATCGTGGTTCATCCAACAGAAAAAAAAAAGGTAAATGATTTAATATTGACCCTAGAAATGTTAAATATTATCGGTGTTTCTTCGACTATTTTACAAAATTGAACAAACCACGAAAAAAATAAATATCGATCGATATTTATTTGGGAAGACCTAAATTAAAATGCATTAAAAAACCTATAAGTATTATAATATACCTATCCTCCTTTATTGATATATTCGTAATGGGACACCACTTCAGCAAAAATCTTTACTTATATGAGTACTGAGTAGTATGTTATAACTACTGTCTACTGATGCTATATTAATATGTTAGAATCATGGAACAATGTCAATATGCAATCAAAGTGGTAGATACTTACAAAAAAAAATTGACCGTCGATTTTTGCGATAGGTACCTAACTAATAAGCCTACACCTACTATCTATATTACATACGCTTATTACACAAGTATAGCACTCTAAATAAGGTAAAAAATAATTAAAGTGTAGGTACTTATTACCAATTAAATTAATAGGTAGCAATAGTATTAGCTACAAAACATTTTCAAAATACTTGTTAAACAAAACTGATACACATACGTTGAGTGCCAGATTTAGGATTTAGAAATAAGATGACTATGACTATATGCCAAATTAGTAAATATTAAAAAAAATGTTATGGAAAATATCTTAAAAAATTCATAACATGAGTACATAACTAAATAAAAAACTGATTTTGATTTCTTCTTTCCCTTTAAAATATTGTATGATTTTTATACATAGTCAATAGTCATGTATTGTTTAACTATAATGTAGTTACTATTGATGATGTAGGTATGTCTAGAGTTATTTAAAAAAAAAAAATCTGTAATTGGATCTTTTTCCATAATAAATAATTATTAGATATAGAAAAGTTTCATTAAGATATTGAAGTTTTGGGTGAAGATTTGAGAAGTAGCACTTGCTATATTTTAATTATTTTAGGTAAACAGATATCTCAAAAAAATTATGGTAATCGATATTTTATTAAATTATATTTATTAAATGCACACTTTTATTTAAAAAAATAATTAAAAATTTTTTGAACACAATAATGTAAAATAAAATTAGGTATACATAAAACAATAAAATATTAAAATATTCATCCCTTGAATTTAAAGAAAAAATAATAATATTAAAATAAAAATCTTGTAATGGTTAAAATATAAAATAGATAATCATTAAACATAAATTTAATTAATGTTAAAAATTCAAAAAAAAAAAAAAAATTAACCATAATTGGTTTAAGATATAATAAAATAACAAAAAATAAATTAGTCTTTTAGTTGCATAATAAAGAATTAAAAAATCAAAAATTAAAATACATACCAATTATGAAACAATGGTGATGCATACAATATACAAAATATTTGTTTAAAGTACTAAACTAATAAGTCAAAAGATCATAAATATTAAAAATTAATAAAATGTATAAACATATAAAATATAAAAAGTTAAACAATTTTAAAATCAAATAACACTTTAGGTAAAAAAAAAAAATAATAATAACAATCCAACTAAAAAAATAATATGAAAATTGTATTGAATAACACTGAAAGTGTTAGTTAAAGTTTTTAGGAATTCTATGCACTTTATATTTTAAGGTTTCAGCAAACATCAATGTTGTGTCAATTTGTTGTTTTGTGAATATTTGATTACCAGTAATTAACAATGCGCTTTCTAAATATTTGTTGATGGACATTCCAACTAGACTCTGGGCAACCAGATAATTGGTCATGCTTAGTTTTTCCAACAGTTGACTTAAAAATTTTCCCATGATAAGAACTATGTCTTGTTGTAATTGATCATCAACAACACAATTCTTGTTTGGTATGGGATAATGTAATATGTCTCGCATGTATGACATGAATTCACACAATTCACTTGGAGTAACTTCTAAATCCAATGCCTGTAATTAAAAGTAATTTATAAGTCGTTTAATTCATAAATAAAACATATTCAAAATTACCAATAATAAGTAATTAAACTTTTGTGGCCGATCTCGCAACATTTTTGTTGATATACAAATTTTTTTTTGTGCACCTTTTGTAATAAAATTTTTGTTTACTTTAGCTATAAAATCATCAATATTGTCTTCATCGATTGATATGATTTCAAGATAACTGAGGCTATTGAAGAACCATTGGTATTTATGTAGTTTCAAGTAGTAAAGCCACTTGGCCACTATTCCATCCATTTCTTGGTTAATAATTGTCAAGTTGATAAATGTTGGTGAATTATTCATGGCAATAGCACTGTTGACATTTGCAATCATTTCTAGGTGATCATATCCATAACATTCCACTAAAAACAAAATGTTAATAGTTAAATATTATTTACTTATAAATTTTACTTATTCAATGTTTGTTTCTCACTACTAAAATGTGGTTGAACATAATCAGATTTAAGATTTGTTGGTTGCATCACATTTTTCCAAACACGGCTATGTTGTTGTTGAGCTGATTGAAAACTGAATCGTTGAAAAGGGTCTGTTTGAGAAGTTTTGAAGTTGTTTTTCCAAATTTTTTCTTTCAAAAATTCTTTTTTCATATGGCGTTGTGTATTATTCAATTGATTTACTTGGCTTATAAGATGTTTCAAATCACTAAAAAAGTTTAAATGTTATTAGATAAAAATAATATGAAAAAGAATAAAATTTAGACTTACTCTTGAAATATTTTCAAGTTTGTTGATTTTTCAATTAAATGACATATTTTCAATGCTGCCTTTAAGTTGGCACCATTTTCAATTGTTTGGTTTAGCATACTACTTAAATTATATATAAGCTCCTCTTTGGCCATAATATTGTTTTTTTTTACCATCATCAATGACTCATGAAGCTTGATGTACGATTTTTGTGTTGGATTACTTAACCATTTAGTAATTTTATTTGGATCATTAGATTCTAGTTCTCTTCTTTTTATCTCTCTATACAATATTATGTATATATCAGGATACTCAAATGATAGATGATCGAGTGATTCACTCAGACGTCCTTGTCGCTCTTTAAATGATTTACACTGCATTAATTTCGTAGCTAATTGTTTCATTTCGGCCACTAAAAATAAAACTTAGAATTAAAATCCTATTTATTGGATATAATTATATTATTACTTATGTATGTCTAATCTATAATTGTCTTTTAAAAATTAATGATAAATGTTTATATTAATAATTAATATTTAATTTTAATGTGAGTAGGTAGTTATTATTATAAAATCAGGGTCGATTGAAAGGCCGATACCACCATGGATTTTTATTTATAAGTGTTTTTTCTTTGATAGGTAGGTAACTTAAATTTTGTAACTCTTCAAAGTTTATGTTTTGGAGAAAATACCTACTCCTTTTGCAATTAAATTTATACGACCCTAATTAAAATTTATCAGGTTATATAGATATTCAAAGAAAATTAAATGTTAAAAAAACCATAACATTTAAAAACTACTTCTTAAATAATAAATTAATTAATGTTAAATTGCTTCATTTCTTTTAAATTTAATTTACTTTAAATTGAATCATTCCAATCAAACTTATAATATTACTAATTGATTTAAATACATTTTTAACATTATAATTAGACAAAAGTTTACCTAATCTGATTGAATCGAAGTATATTAATACATGCAAGTTTTTAGAATAACAGATTATAATATAATTTATAATAAACATATTTTTTTTATTATTATTAGTTATACATTATAACTTTAAAAGGATCAGAAAATTATAAGAATAATGAATTATTTAGTCTTTGATGTAGGTAAAATAATTAAATTATTCAAAAAAATGTTTTAATTAATTATACTCGATTATTTATTACTAGTTGTAAGCATGTTCAATAAATAATAATGAATTATAAATAAACCGTAACTCGTTTTAAATGTAAAAAAGTATCTATTAAAAAAATATTAAATTAGAAGTTTTTGATGGTTGTACATAATTAGGTAATTTTTGATAAATACATAAGTATAATTGTAAAATATTAACACTTACTTGTTGAATAATTACCTTCTGTGTATAGATTTTTATTCAAAGTCATGGTGGTAAAGTGCCGGTTAATTAAAAGTAAAAGACCTGAGATTTATACAATTTTTAAAAAAATACAACCGCAACGGATGAGTTGCTATAACAACAATGCAGAATTTGTTGGTCTAATCCGACTGGTCGGTGGTAGGTTGTTCTTCTTAAATACTCCCTCTCAAAAAACCCCACTACTGAATACGTAATAGGTAGACAGACTATATAGTACTATATGACTATATCCTTGGTTAAAGTAGAATTTTATAAAAGAATAGATAAATACTATAACTATGAGTTTGTTATTTTTTTTGTGAGTTGAAGATATCGGTAATTTTCTTTTTTTGGTATAAATGAATTTATATTTACGTAAAATATATTAATATATTATCATGCATAATTTGAATTTTGAACAAAAGGTACTTTTCTCTAATGTTTAATAATATTAATAAGTTTTGAAATATAAATGATTATTGTCACATCATTTTTTACTTGTATAGATTATTCTAAATATTGTATTTGCTGTATTCTATATTGAAATAAAATATATTATTTAATACAATTAAAATATTAATCATGTCAAAGTAAATTTTAGTCCAAAAATTAAAATCAAAGTTTGTAAACCGATGAAATTTACATGTTTACCATATATTTGCCATACATTATTTTAAATTATGATACGTATTTATGTTAACTAATATTTTTTATTAATTACATATTATTTTGTTGTTTTAAATTCTAACATTATAATTAAAATAAATTATAGTTAATACATTATAACTTATTAGATATGCGGTGGGCTAGGTAGTGGCTAATGAAACGTACTGTTTTGTTTTTAAAATAATGTTACTTAAAAAATTATTAAAATATTTAATACTTCGCGTAATTCACTAATAGTAAGTTATTCTATGTACACGGTTTAATTATTAATGTATGTATCGTATTTTACTTCCAATTTTCGTGATAATTTATCTATGTATAAATGTATAATGTATATACAAATCAATCTATTTTTCCTTTTTAATTTTCTATAAATATAAAAACTACTGGACCGACTTCAATAAAAATTTATTTCAATAAATTTCAATAAATTTCTTGAGCTCAATGAGAGTTTGTGGCTACATTTTTCATCTCATATAGGTTGTTATATAGAGTAGCTCGTGAATAATTACACTACTCTTGAATGAAAATAGAATACTTTATGATTTTTATTGGTTTCAAACAATATAATAGTATTAAAATATAATTTTCTACGTACATATATTATTTTGTAATTTAGGGTAATTAAGCTTTTTATATAAATGTAAAATTGTGTAATAGCTATTATACAAATATATTATTAAAGGCGAAGTATATAGACATACAGTTAGTTAAGATAATATTAAAATAATACTCAACCGATTATGATGATGCAAGGAAGGTTTTAGTAATAAATTGAATCAGTTATTTTAGGGTGGCTTCCTCGTAATTAATAGTTTTAAAATCATAACCACATATTAGTTTATTTTTAATTGTAAAAAAAAAGTTTCTTAATAGTAAGTAATACTTATCATCTTTATCTAAACGGAAAACGCTGGGTAATACAGCTCGTGAATAGCAATATTTATATTTATACACATTTAACCATTTTGGTATTGAATGAAAGATTTTATACATTTTAAATAAATAGTACCAATGTTCCATGTCTGAAATATTATACAGTATTTATAAGTAATTAAAATGTATTTTAAGAAATAATTTAATTTCCCAAAATAGTAAGTAACATATCAATGTGATAATATTGTTATATTTAATGTAGGTAATAGTAGTATAAGATCAAAAGATGCCGTCTTACATTGTTATACAGGTACTCTTATATTTTCTGTAGTTCTGTATAATATGTCATTCTATTAGAGCAGCGGTTCCCAAACTGTGCACCGCGGTGCCCTAGGGGCACCGCCAGCACTTTCTAGGGGCACCGTGGTCTACGTTTCATTGGTTCTCAATGAGTACTTTTTTTGTTCCATCTTTCATGTTATATACAGCAGGGCACCGTGGTAAACATGGTGCCCCTAAAAGGGCACCGCGTTCAAAAAAGTTTGGGAACCGCTGTATTAGAGAGTTGGTCATCGTATGGCAATTTTAAGTATTGTTGTTTAGACATTATTGTGATTAACTATTTTCAAAAAGAAATCTTACGTATTCTGTTTGGGAGTTTTTAATTTGTAATTGTATTTAGTTATGTGTAGAATTATTAATTATTAATAATGGCAGTAAGACAGATAGTACATTTGATTTATATTATAGATAAATGAGTTAAAAAATAATTTATTTTGTGTTTAACAATTTATACATTTATAATAATATATGTATCCAATAACTATTACCCATCTATTATTAGAAAAGCCTAAGTTAATATTTTCTTTAACTATAAACAATTTAGCATAATAGTGTAAGCGAATAAACTCAAATTTTTAATATCAATTATATTTTTATTTTTATTTTTTTTTATAGAAGTTTTAATATACATTTTACAGTCTTCTTTAATGTTTATTTATTATTATACTTGTATAATAATAAATTGTATATTTAACCGTTTTTATCGGATTAAAAAAAAAAATTAACTGTAGTTCATGACGTAATTATAGATACTTATATAGGTCCTATCTTTATGGCTATTTTAAAATCGTTTTAAACTTATTGTAAATTTTTTAACTAATATAGCCGAAAAAGGTATCTTTCCAAATTTAGAATTTTCAAAAAAATCCCCTAAGTCGTTCTCCTCGATTGATCGTAATAAGGTTATTAAATTTATTTTATTTATTTCTGAATTGAAATTTTCGTTTAAAAATAATATATTTTTGTTTGTTACTTTAGCAGTCTGATTATTCGTATTTCGTTTTATATAAAATTTATCGTCCATTAAAAATGATTAGTCATTAAGAGAAATTTGAAAAGACAATGACTTTACATAAGATTCACCTGACCTAATACACTAATATTACAACACAAGGGGTGTACCTCAGGATCGAAATTTTTTCAGAAAAATTTTATTTCTTAAAAATCGGGACTCCAGGGACGGGCGCCTCCACCAATTGTAACGTCCCCTCTTCACATGGGTCTTTGCGACGCTCTCGCGTCTTGCCTATAAAGTTATGTTTTGATTAACGAGGTCTCGGGGACTCGACCTCGGTGTGTAATATTAATATACTAGATCAGGGTTACCTTATTTAAGTAAAGCACAATTGTATAAAATGTAACGTATATTTAACAGATAATTTAAGATTTATATAATAGAATGAAGGTTACCGATCCGGGTAGATTGACAAGCCGTGAGTGTGGATGGTGGATGGCTGCACGGATCGTTGAGGAGTCTTCTGGTCGTCTGTCTGCTCCTGGTGTCGCACACACACTCCTCGCACACACTCTCCTACTCTACACGTATTCGTCCTTGTTATATACTTTTAACTGCTGCCTAAAAGCCTTAGGTCAGCAGTCGGCCCCGCTTGCCATTCCTCACACTCAGCATTTTAATAACGTGTGCCCTACTTAAGGAATAATGTACGATGTCGATAGACGACAATCGTTACACTTGTATAATAATAAATTGTATATTTAACCGTTTTTATCGGATTAAAAAAAAAAATTAACTGTAGTTCATGACGTAATTATAGATACTTATATAGGTCCTATCTTTATGGCTATTTTAAAATCGTTTTAAACTTATTGTTTTTAACATTCATATTTGCAATTATTACTTCTTTTAAAGGAGTATAGTGATATAAAAAAGATTTTAAGTCAATTTTTATCCTTCGTATTCAAAAAATATCCCAGCATATCTTGCAACGTTCGTAATGTGTTAACGTTAACTTAGTAAAATAAAAAAATAAAATAAATATTCCATCGTCGTTCAAAATATTTATAACACAACCTATAATCTGAGGTATTGAGGTCTAGAAATCGAAAGTTTGAAAAAGAGAGAACAGAAAACTTAAAAATAGGCAAAAACAGTGAGCCAAAAATAAAAACTACCAATATCCATAAACTATTTTACATTATACATTTTGTCATTATTAGGAAGTGTAATGAATAATTTGGATATTTTGACAAAAGTAAACAATAAAAAAGTCCGAGAAAACCGATACAAATTAACAAAAACAAAAAAAAATCCAAGAAAAATATAGATATTTTTACTATAAAATTATTTGTATATTAAAATTAGTTAGTACAAAGTTTTATAAATCCATTATAGTAACTCATTCGATACCTAATGTTTAACAAAAAAGTTCACTTTCTCACTTTTTTAGTATTAAATAACCGTGTTAGAGAAAAAGGTGATTAAGGCATCTATATATTTTACTATACATATATTTTATATAGTCTATACTCTATAACATGTAACTATGTAGGTATTATTTTATGTATTCAATGTTAGTTCTATTATTTAAAATATCAAAATTTGGTTTTCAAAGATGAGAAATTTATGAATTATCTCTTAAAACTATTATGAAATATAAATTAAAAACTTATATACAATTTAACATCTACCTTTCAGATACCATGTTGTCGTTTATAGTCTATTATTTACTTCTATACATGATAAATTACCCAACAATAAGATAAGGTAAAATATTTTATTACTAATTTAAAAAGGAATTATTTTTTTCCAAGTAATCGTTACATTTGATAAAAAAGGTTCTTTATAAACCATATATATACATAAATACAGGTTTCGCCGATTTCAGACTGCTGTCGAGGCGGTCATCTTTTATCACTAGATATATCTTCATTGTCCACCTGATACCTAAATGCATAGGTATTGCAGATTATTGAGAGTATAGACTGTCACTGTAGATGTTAATAGTTAATCATTATCTAATAATTTTAAATAGAAAAACTGTAAAAAAAAAATAAATACCTAAATAGTAATATTTCATTTTCAATTTCATAAAATTATTCAGATTAAAAATTGAAAATATTCAAGTGGCAAATACCTATGTAATAATAATGTATTATAGTGCTTAGACTGTTTTAAATGTTTTAACATGTGGCAATATTGAAATATTATAAAGTATTTTATTATTATACTGTAAAACAAAACAAAAAATTAAA